TGCATGTGCGTGTCTGTGAAGTGTGACCAAAGTGTAAGTAGGAGTAGCAAGATATCCCTGTTATCTAGCGTGTTTATGAGACAGAAAAAGAAACCAGCAATCCTACCATCATGCAAAACAGTTACAGGTTTTTGTTTCACAGTCATCTGGCAGGACGGTAGTACTTCCCTGGGTGGTTGCTGTCTACCAACCTACTACCTATAGGTATATATATATTATTATGTATCTCTCTCTCCTCTGCTCCAAGGAATACATGTTCAAGACTTGCAAGCGTTCCCAGTAGTTTAGGTGCTTTACAGGCTCAATGTGAGCTGTAAACGATCTCTGTATTTGTTCCAGCTCTGATATTTCTCCTCCTTTGAATGGGGCCGTCAGCACTGAGCAATATTTTAAGCGAGGGAGCACTAGCGATTTGAAGAGTGTCACCATCGGCATTATTTCCCTTGTTTTGAAAGTTCTCAATACTCAACCCCGTCATCTTCCTGGCTATTGTGATCTTTGTCTTGTTATGGTCTTTAAAAGAAAGGTCCACTGACATAATTATTCCTAGGCCTTTTACATGTTCCTTACATTCTATTTGGTGACCCTCTTGAGTTTTGTATATAGTGTTCCTTTTGAGTTCTTCATTCTTTCCATACCTAAGCAGCTGGAACTTATCACCACTGAACATCATGTTGTTCTCCACTGCCCACTGGAAAACCCTGTTTATGTCTTCTTGTTCTTTTTTAGTGTCCTCTACTGTGGTGACTTTCATGCTTATTTTAGTGTCATCTGCAAATGAAGATGCAAATGTGTGCCGGGTGTTTTTGTCTATGTCTGCTATGAGGATGAGAAACAGCAGAGGTGCCAGGACAGTGCCTTGGGGCACTGAGCATTTGACCTCACTGGTGCTGGATCTTACCCTGTTCACTACTACTTTTTGTACTGTGTGTGTTAGGAAACCGAAAATCCATCTGCCTGCCTGGCTTTCATTCTGTGCGCTATCACTCCACGATCGCATTTGTCAAACGCCTTTGCAAAATCTGTAAATCACATCTGCATTTTGGTCGTCCGCCAATGCCTCCGTAATTCTGTCATAATGATTCAGCAGCTGTGACCGGCATGATTGTCCTGCTCTAAAACCATGCTGGTTCGGGTTATGTTGGTTGTGCTGCTCAATGAAATTTGTAATCTGCCATCTCATCACTCTTTCGAAGATTTTTATGATGTGTGAGGTTAGGGCTACTGGTCTGTAATTTTTAGCTAGTGCTCTACTTCCTCCCTTATGCAAAGGAGCTATGTCAGCACTCTTTAAGGCTTCTGGTATTTCACCTAGATCTAAGCTCTTTCTCCAAAGAATACTGAGGGCTCGTGCTAGTGGTAACTTTGCACTTCTTTATAAACAGAGCATTCCATGAATCTGGTCCAGGTGCTGAGTGAGTGGGCATGTTTTCCATTTCTTTTTTGAAAACTATGGGATTTGTACTAATGTCAGTTAGTTGGTCTGTGCGGCCTTCTTCTGGAGTGAAAAATATTTCTGCATTTTCTACCTTGCTGTTATTTAGTGCGTTGCTGAACACTGACTCGTACTGTTCTTTTAGGATTTCACTCATTTCCTCTTCATCGTCAGTATACGAGTCCCCTCTCAGTAGTGGTCCAATTCTACAGGTAGTTTTTAGCTTGGATTTTGTATAGGAATAGAAATATTTTGGGTTTCTTGCAATATCCTGTATGTCCCTTTGTACTTCTTCTGTGAGGTGGTTTGGACATGTAGAGAGAATGGAACAAAACAGAATGACTTCAAGAGTGTATAAATCTGTAGTGGAGGGAAGGCGGGATAGGGGTTGGCCTAGGAAAGGTTGGAGGGAGGGGGTAAAAAAGGTTTTGTGTGCAAGGGGCTTGGACTTCCAGCAAGCATGCGTGAGCATATTTGATAGGAGTGAATGGAGGCAAATGGTTTTTAATACTTGACGTGCTGTTGGAGTGTGAACAATATTTATGAAGGGATTCAGGGAAACTGGTGGGCCGGACTTGAGTCCTGGAGATGGGAAGTACAGTGTCTGCACTCTGAAGGAGGGGTGTTAATGTTATAGTTTCATAACTGTAGTGTAAAGCACCCCTCTGGCAAGAGAGTAATGGAGTGAATCCCACCCTGCCTTGGTGGGAATCGACCGATGTGTTAAAAAAAAAAGAAAAATAAGAAGACCTCCACTCATGTAATGACAAAGAACGAGAAGACCAAGAAATGGAGTCCAAAGATAGTAGTGAAAGATCATTGTCATCATGGTGGAGCCTGGCACTGAATATCTCACTCATGTGACTCCCAAGTCAGGACATGGAAAGGAGATTGCCAAGACTGTCTATACATTTCTGATGGAACAGAAACTAACTTGACAGCCTGTTGTATGTATTGGTAGTGATGGAACCAACGTGAATGTCAAAGCTGACAATGGAGCCATTCATCATCTTGAAATGTTGCTTGGTCATCCGGTCCATTATTTCATTTGTCAGCTTCATGGAAATGAGCTGCCATTCTGGGCCGTTTTCTACCACTATGACGGTAAGTCAAGTGGTCCTGAACAATGGAGGGGTCCCACTGGCAAGCAAATCATGGATCCTCTGTCTGAGCTGCGAGATGTTGCTTTCCAGCCAGTCAATTTCACTCATTTTCCTGCCCTGAATGACAAGGTGGCAGAGGATCTGTCTTGGGACCAGAAATACTTATATAGGATTTGCAAAGGAGTGATCACAGGTGTGGTTGATGATGACCTGGCTGCTCTTCAACCAGATCCACTGTGTGTGTCAAGGTGGAATAGGATCCTTAGGCTGTATGTGGCAACATCAAGACCCAGTCAGAAGCTGAAAAGAGTTGTCATTATGATTTTAAAATTCAGTGCTCCAATGTGGCTCCACATCAAGCTGCACCCTCATTGTCAGACATGGTCCAAAGAACATCTTCCAGTTACTGCAATTTATGAGACATCTGAACAGTGAAGAAAAGAAGATAGTAAAGAAGACTGTCCAAAGAAATTCCTACTTTGCTCACACAGATCAGCTGCTTCTTGGTATGTACGCTGATTAAGACATGACTGTGAGAGACAAAGCTGTCTCAATGAAAAGAAAAATTAGAGAAGAGAATCAGCAGACCAAAGAAAGTACTGAGAGCTCTGATGAGGATGGAGAAGATTCTGCTGATGCTGTTGATGAGGACTTGTTAATCTACACTGATGATGAGGATGACAGTGAAGATGAAGAAAATGACAATGTGGCCCCTATTGTCAACTCAAGACAAGTAGTGATTCCCAAACTAAAGTGGCAAGCAAAGAACTACCATTCCATGATTGACTGGAAGGCTAAACTCAAAACTGAGCCTCATTTCATTGCTTCTCTATCAGATCAGCAGGTTCTGAAAATATTTAAGACTCCACTGGAGGTGCCCAAGTGACCAAACAACACTCAAGCTGTTGAGAGAGGGATAAAACTGATGACTGAAGCTTGCTCTGGACAGAAGGCAAGAGATGGATATATCAGGCAAAGAATATTTTCCAGGAAAGTGATGCCCAAGTTCTGCTCCAAGAAAGACATCACTTATAACTTGTAATAGTTTAAAATTAAATAGTTGATGACTGATATAACCCATGTACATTTCATTATACAATCTTCACAACCAAAAATGATATAAACCACGTACACTTGATTATCATCCTGACAACCAATAAGTTATAATTAATTGCTTTCAATGGAGTATAATTTGACGAAAAGTCGATCGCAATGCTGCAGGGTAAACAGGCATGAAAGTCTGAAATTTTGCACAGAAGCTTGTTGTGACCATACAAATAATGCCTGAAAAGTGCAGCTTGCATTTCTAAAATTTGTATTTTTTCAATGCTCCCTATCACATCCCTGTTTAAGCCTTTCTTTTACTGGAAAATGGTTTCCTTCTCTCCTCCACACCCTACCCTGAGCCTCACTTTCCTCAAAAATACTGTTTACTGCTTTTAGTAACAAACTACAAATTACACAATTGCAACATCTACCACCTTGCTTCCCTATCCACCCTATAATATGCTTCTTATAAATCCATTAATGTAACAAACAGTTCTTCATCCATTTAAATACTGTTCACTTATATCCTTCAAGAACATAAGAAAGGAGGATCACTGCAGCAGGCCTGTTGGCCCATACTAGGCAGGTCCTTTACAATCCATCCCACTAACAAAACATTTGCCCAGCCTAATTTTCAATGCTACCCAAGAAATAAGCTCTGATAACTCTATCCACTCATTTGCAAGTCCCACTCAAATCCAACCCCTCTCACTCATATATTTATCCAACCTAAATTTGAAACTACCCAAAGTCCTAGCCTCAATAACCCAACTAGGAAGACTGTTCCACTCATCAACTACCATATTTCAAATTCCTACGTCCTTTCTAAATCTAAACTTGTCTAATTTAAATCCATTACTGCGGGTTCTCTCTTGGAGAGATATCCTCAAGACCTTATTAATATCCCCTTTATTAATACCCATCTTCCACTTATACACTTCGATCATGTCTCCCCTCATTCTTCGTCTAACAAGTGAACGTAATTTAAGAGTCTTCAATCTTTCTTCATAAGGAAGATTTCTAATGCTATGTATTAATTTAGTCATTCTATACTGAATGTTTTCAATGTAAACACTTAGTCTAAACATCCCCTACCCTTCCTAAATTATACAGACCACTATTTGTTTAAGCTAAACAATGTGATTTTTAATCAGATGAAGCACATGCTTTCAAGGACACTGATTGATTTATTTAAAAAACCTAAATGTTATCTGGGAAATTTCCACAGAACTTACCGAAATTTCACTAAAATTTTAATGTATACCTCCAATTTTTCTCTTTAAATTTATGGGAATCTAAAAGTTAAAATATGTACTGAAATTCATAGAAATCATTAGAAAATTCTCTCCCCTGCTGATAAGCAATAAAACAAATGATTTTATCCTCATTAGACACTTAAAGCTGTGTTCACTAACCTTGTGTGCCCTAAGTGACTTGCCTTCACAGGCTAAGGTAACATCTGTGAAAGATTCCGACTGCAGTAAGCGATCAAAGGCTCGCAAAAGGTTTGACTGGTGGTTGTTCCACTTGAGGCAGTATTGTTGGTTCGCCATTGCGGACGGGGAGTGCGGAGAGTCCTGTGGGTAGAATGAGAGCCTGGGGTAATCTCCTAGGATTATTATTAAGGAAGATAATTGCATCAGATTTATGTTTAACACAGTATGAAGAGAATAAAAATCCCATTAGCATACAGCAGCAAATAAGCAGTGATGGCACAAAATTTCTTGTGTGATTGTGAAACTGTGCTACACAACAAGCTTTATCTCTATCACCCCCACATACTCCACCTACCCGACGGCTGGAGGACACAACACTCAAAAGAGGTAGCAGGAGCCAACAAAAACAACTTGTACACATTTCTATTCATCCATACGCTATATAATCAAAGCATGCAAAATACAATACAAAAATATAAAACAACAGAGCTACAGAGTGCAGGTAACAATCCATTTAAAGAAACTACTTAATATCCAACAATGTATAACATAAAAATACAAGATATACTTACAAAACTGGATCTTAAGAGTTCATGTTTATACACCAGCCAAGCTGGCCCTCATTAGTCAATTTTACTTACAGAGTCTTAGAATTAGCATAAAAAATACAAAGGACAACAGTGCTGCATTTTCTTTCAACTGTACAGAGAATCAGGATTACAGATTTGGCTTACAATATTAAATGCCAGTTTCATAATCTACACCCCCTACTACTAAACTTAGTATTTCTACTAAGGTGTTGGAATTTAAATAATGTGCTTTTATGATACATACACCATGAAATAAAGTAAAAAAAAATCATCTCCTTAATCCATAAACAACACACAAGGATGCATCTAACAGTGCATTCCTATAACCCGCACAAAAGCAAAAAGCTGAAACAACTGCACTTGCACGACTCAGCCTAGTGCTCGGTGATCATAGAAGCAAGGAAGGGTGTTCCAAGCAGTAAAGTGGCGATAATGTGACTCAGGAAGCTTGTTTAGCAACTTGCTCATCCCAACAAGTGATGTGGATGTGTGACACTCACTAACCTTACTATCAACAAGAACATTCTCCAGTTTCCACGATGGAGAAAGCCGAGAGGATGAAGCGTCTACATTTGGTAGATGTGAAGGACACTCAGAGGTTATTGGCTGAGGATCACTACTGCTTGTACTGGCCAATGGGGAGTCCTCCATCCCCTCTATATCAGGTTTTGTTATATGGTAACACGGTACACACTTCCTCAAGTGTCTCCTCAGCCGGTCAACCTTCGCACTAACCCTTTGTTTACAGTGAACACAAATCACAACATAATGCTTTTCGTCTGTCCATCTTTTGCTAAAGTGGGACCACACAGAATCACTCCGCCTGCCAGCTTTACCCTCTCTGATGCTCATGTTCCTTATACAGAAGAAAAAGAATTAAAAATCTTTTAATAACATTCATTTAAGTTCTCAGAGGGTAATCTGCTGGAAGGTATGATGGGAGTGAAATGGGCTGCAATTCTCTATTTGTTTCAATAAAATTTAATCAAGGTTAAAGTATAATAATAATAAAATAGCATAATATATAAAACAAACTGTATAACCATAATAATATATAAAGTATAGATAAAATTGGTATATACATTTAACAATCATTCAGTTTCAATTAGATTGTGATAGGTATAAATGGCAATTTATTTAGAAACGATGCAGACACGTCTTACAATAGTACGTATACGTACTGTAGAGTACAACATAGCAACAGCATATTACTTTCAAAATACAGCACACATTTTATCAACATGTACTGTATACATGTATCAATAGTATCTGCAATATCTACATATGTTTTTTTTTCAACAAGTCGGCCATCTCCCACCGAGGCAGGGCGACCCAAAAAGAAAGGAAATCCCCAAAAAGAAAATACTTTCTTCATCATTCAACACTTTCATTCACTCATACATAATCACTGTCTTTGCAGAGACGCTCAGATATGACAGTTTAGAAGCATATATAAAGATATATAACATATCCCTCCAAACTGCCAATATCCCAAACCCCTCCTATTAAAGTGCAGGCAATGTACTTCCCATTTCCAGTACTCAAGTCCGGCTAAATCACCGGTTTCCCCGAATCCCTTCACTAAATATCTATATATGTAGATAAACACAGTACAGAAGTACCAAAAAGCCTATTTAGTAAAAAAAATCACCTGGATATGCAGTGGAACCTTGGGATAAGAACTTAATTCGTTCCAGAAGGCTGTTCGAGTACCAATAACGAACAAATTTGTTCCCATAAGGAATATTGTAAATTAGATTAATCCGTTTCAGATCCCCAAAACTACACTTACATAATTGTTTGAGTTTTGAGCTGTTCGTATCCCGAGTTACCACTGTACTTAATTCAATCCAAAATGCACGTTCATAGAAAAATAATCTTTTACAATTTCTTCATGTCATATTTCTATATCCAGCAAGAGCATTTCCAGATTCAAGAATGGGTCAACCTGCACACACTTCATGACCCCGGCACTTAATACTGCAAGAAGTAACTGCCTGGGGTGAAGCAGAAACATCTTTGAAAATGCTTAGCACATGCACCTTGTGCATTTAATAGCAAAATAATAATAATAAATGAAACAAAACTTTCTTTATTAAAATTACATATAGTAATACACTAACAAAAAAAATGGAATAAACCAGACATACCATATAAAGTGAAGAGGAAGAAAATTAATATATATATTAGAGGAGGAAGAGGAGTAGGAGTTTCACTAAAATTATAGTAAAAATAAAAAATATGAAAAAAAAAAAATGAACTTGTTACTTTTAGACATTTGGAGCATCATGTTAGTTGTATGCTCCATGCTCATCCTCAGAGCTGTGGCACCAAAGAGAATCTAAATACATACAACAAATACAAATACAATTATATTTCAGCATCATACATTGTTTATACAGAAATGGGCAAAACTTTTGAGCATGCTGAAAGCTCATAGTTATGCAGAGCACTTCAGGCAATCACAATACGTGGATACAATCTCTACTAGCATTACATTTCAGATATCTTATCACTAACAATGAAGTCGGATTATAATCTCTTTATTATAAACAATTAATTTACTGATATAATGCAAAATCTGCATACCCTTTGGTGATTTCAGATGCTATAACATAAAAAATTATGTAATTTGCCATTTCCTGCCGAGTATGTACGTTTGGAATTACGTATCTGTAAAGGGTTGAATTTTTGCACAATCTATGATGGTTTTTCTTTTAGAAGGGCTCTTTGATGCTGGTAAAAAAAAACCTTCTGATCCAAGGAGATTGAGCTACCTTTCCCTTCCTTGGATCAAACTTAATTAAGTACTTGGAATTTTGTGCTCCCACACAATAATAATAAGACAGTGTCCTGATATACAGTACATCAATCTGTCATATGTATACATATATGATATACAGTAGTCTCCCTGTATCTGTGAGAGATACGTTCCAAGACCTACCGTGGATACCCAAAATCGCAGATAGTAGAGAACCCTATACATAAGTTGTTTTTTGTTTACATACATACCTATGATAAAGTTTAATTGATAAATTACATAGTTAGTCAAGAATTAGCACTTTTTTACTGATCGCTTCTCTTAGGCTTTGAGGAACTGCCATAATTACTGCTTTTGCACTTTGGGGCCATTATTAAGCAAAATTAAGGGTTATTTTCAGACCATGGTAAACCATGGATAACAAACAGTGACAACCAAATCCATGGATAAGGGGTTATACTGTAATATGAATGTGTATGTTAATTTTAAAACATGTAAATGTATCTAATGTGTATATATACTTAACCCTTAAACTGTCCACACACAGATCTACGTTCACATGCATAGCACTCCAAACGTAGATCTACGTTTTTCCCCATAAGAAAGCATGTAAAATCGAACATAGATCTACGTTCGGAGTGTTACACATGTGAACGTAGATCTATGTGTCAACAGTTTAAGGGTTAATGTGTGTGTGTATATTTTACAAAATGTGAATGTACAAATGTGTATACCATAAACACACGTTGTCAAGCACATGCGCTTACATAATAATACGTAATGAATTACCAATACAGAAAGAAAAGTCATTCTTTCTATACTGTGGCTGTATAGAATCTCATCCATTAAGGATGCTAACTTTTCCTGCATTATAAGTGTATGAACAGACAGCAATCCAAATTTTTACGTTAACTTGGTCCCCCATTTTTAACCTCAGAAAAACTGTTGAACAAACAGTAGACCGTTGATTAAAATGGTTTCTTTCAAAACATTTTCTCCATTAAACTACTGTCAAATTGAGGCATATTTTTTTTTTTTATTAACACATCGGCCGTCTCCCACCAAGGCAGGGTGGCCAAAAAAAGAAAAACTTTCATCATCATTACATTTTGTAAAATTAAATTTAAACAGTTCTGCTTCCCGGTAAGGAAAAAATTTCAGTGCTGGAAGCTGGATGAATGACTTACTGACTGACCTGATTTACTGATTTACCAAATGACTTGACCGATTCACTGACTGGCTTACATACTTGACTGATTTACTGACTTGAATGACCGACTTAACTGATTTACTGAATGACTTGAATGAGTGACCTACTGAATTAAATGACTGTACTGACTTGACTGACTGACCTACTGACTCGCCTGATTGGACTGACTGGACTACCATCCACCTCAGCCCAGATGGGCCTCAGCATGCCTCTCTACTCCCTCCACAGGCCTGCTACAGTGTTCCTCCTTTGTTATGTTCTTATGACAAACACCAGCAACCACAATTTAAGGTAAGAAATATTATTTCTGTTGCATTTTTAGCATTAAGCAACAGAAAAAAACATACATTGTAACAATAATGAACAACAGCTGCATTATTATTTTTATTTTTGTAAGATGTGGAGACAAAAAAAAAAGTTTGGCTTTTTTGGAGGTCCCAGGAATGTTGTAACCCTATTTTTCCCATAAGTTCTTCAGTTCCTTTAACACGGATTCATCTAAAACTGCATTTTCAGGACCCTAACTACCGTCTTAATCGACGGTCTGCTGCACTTCAAAGCCCTTTTTTATATACATGTATGTATGGAAGTAATGTTATATAGTACAGTGCATTGCTTTTTATCTAAATAGTTTTATTTATGGTACATCAGCCATTTCCCACAAGGTGGTGAGGGCAATCCAAACAGGAAAACACATTCACAATCAAGTAAGAAACCTTTGTATCAAGTGTCTCTTATTGGAAAAATAAAATTATTTTGTTATTATAGTATTATTCCTGCCAGAAGAGTATGGACATCACAATTCAAAAGTTATCCAAATCATAACATCCTCACCCATCATGCAAGGTGCAAAAACTGTATTTTCCACCCCTCACCCTCCCAAGGCTATGACAATACAGCATTGCATAACCAAATGCAGCTGGAAATATTGTTGACATTCATCATCTCAATCCAGTACAGATTTGTTTTGTAATCATATTTTTATTATTAGTTTTCTTACTATCTACCATGAGCCAACATTCCTGGGTAATTAACACTGTGGAAATTATTGTGTGCAAAACCCAGCTGAAGACATCTCATGACAGCTAGTGAAAACTTACTGGCTACTGGTTTTGGCCAGTAGCTTAGGCCCGTAGGTGACTTGGGCTTGCATGGCATGGGCCAGTAGACCTGCTGCAGTGCTCCTTCTTTCTTACATTACCCTCCTGACTATATATGGAGGAACAAAATATGCTCTGGACAATGGCAATACTATTAAAATAAAAATTTCCTTGTAATTATCGGTGGAGAATTAAATTGCAAGTGCCTTGGATCCAGTCACACACTTAATACTCAATTATCAAATACAGTACATTGTATAACAATATCATGTATAAATCAGATAAAGTCTAGAGACTAATAAAGAATTCTAACATAGGATAACTTTTACAGTTGTAAAATATGGGTGTCATATGCTTCATTATATGTAAAGGAACAGATTTGCTTGGTTGGTCCATGAAAAACAAACCTAAAGTATTGACCACCTGCTTAACATTTTGTGTAGAGGTTTATGAAGCATGAGGGGCTTCGGGTGGCTTATTTTTTAATAACTTTATATATATACCACTAGATATTTTATCCCCTACACATACACTATACAGTACACATACTATACATTTACTTAAGATCAGTACTTAGTAAACAACGCCAACATGGAAACCTCATGCATTAAATATATGTAAAATATTGAGACAATCTAAAGATTTGTTGTGAATGAGTGGAACAAACTCCCGAGTAGCATCATTGACGCAAAAGCCTCGGGTAGCTTTTAAAATGGGTTAGACAAGTACATGAGTGGGTGTGACTTAGACTTGCCTAATAAGGGCCAGTAGGCCTGCTGCAGTGC